GAGTTCATGGAGTTCCTTGGCTACCGTGAAATTAGCAGGAGCTGATGGAAATGGTCTTGAGCACTCACGGCTGGCTTTCTACCCAGGCATGATATGAGTAAAGAGATTTCATGGTGCTGGTTGGTCAGGCAGATTACACCAGAGAAAGCAGAAGATCTGGTCTGCTGTTCTTGTCATCTTTGATGACAACAAGCTGTCATCTACTGATACCCTAGAGGGAAGGGATGCCATCCAGAGGGACCTTGGCAGACCAGAGACGTGGGCCCACGTGAACCTCATGAAGTTCAACAAGGCCAAGTGTAAGACCCTGCAATTGGGTCAGGGCAGTCCAAAACATGCATGCAGGCTGAGTGATGAGTGGATTGCAAGGAGCTCTTCAGAGAAGGACTTGGGGGTGTTGGTGGATGAAAAACTGGACATGACCAGCAATGTGTGCATTCAGCCAAGAAAACCAACTGCATTGTGGGGTACATTAAAAGAAGAGTGGCCAGTAGGTTGAGGGAGGTTAATCTGCTCTCTACTCCAGTCTCATGAGACCCCACCTGAAGAACTGTGTTCAGCTCTGGGGTCCCCAGCGTAAGAAAGGCATGGACCTGTTGGAGCGAGTCCAGAGGAGGCAAGGAAGATGATCAGAGGGCTGGAGCACCTCTCCTCTGAAGACAGGCTGAGAGAGTAAGGGTTATTTAATCTGGAGAAGGGAAGATAAGCCTCTGGGGAGACCTTCCAATAGTTAAAGGAGGTCTACAGGAAAGATGGGGAGGAACTCTTTATCAGGGAGCATTATGAGGGGTAAAGGTTTTGAACTGAAAGGGGGTAGATTTAAATTAGATATTAAGAAGAAATTCTTTACTGTGAGGACGATGAGGCACTGGAACAGGTTGCCAAGAGAAGTTGTGGGTGTCCCAAGCCTGGAAGTGTTGAAACACAGGCTGGATGGAGTTTTCAGCAGCCTGTTTTAGTGGAAGGTGCCCCTGTCCACGGTATAGGATTTGAATTAGATGATCTTTAAGGTTCCTTATAATCCAAACCATTCTATGATTTTGATGGCTTTGAGATAAATGCTATTGGTTGATGCTGTGAGCCAAATCTACTTTGGTCACTTATGTTACCAAACGTTGTCTTAATCTTTAGCTCCAAAGAATGCCTTTTTTGTCCCCTGCAATTCTATTTATTTGGGTTTTTATTTTTATTTTTTAAATCCAATTTTTTTTTCTAAAAACTTTTTCAGAAAGCTGTTGGGTATTTTTTACAGAGTGTTGCTTAATGTGATCTGGATGTTGTCAGGTGGGTTCAAGTGCTTGTAAGCCTTAACCTACCTCGGGAAAAAAGAGCAGTGTGGCTTAGGTAAACACACTTGTCTAGTTGAGGGTTGTGCTGCTTAGCAGCTCTTTGTTCAGCTTCACTCAACTAGGAAAACTTTTTTAGTCCTTAGAAAGGTCAGATGGAGAAAAATAAGTGTAGTGGTCTAACAGAAAGGCGCTCACTTCATGAAGGGTGAAGCCCAGTGCAGAGGTGAGTTGCAGCTTCGTTTGCCATGCAGCCCTTCTCTGCAAGAAACAAAAGTTCCCTCTCCCCACCCCCCTTCACATTGTTTCCTCTCCTCTCTTTTTTTCTCTTCCCGTCAAATATTTAAGCAGATATTTCCTTTCTGGTGGTGTGCCAAGGAGCATTCCAGCTCTGCCCCCTTTGAAAATAAAAAGGTTGACCCCCATTTCCATAACCAAGGAAGGGACAGGTAGCCTTTGTTTGTGTTCCAGAGCATGACTGTTTTTCCTAGATTCACACTAAAAGAAGAGAAATGATGCTGTTATTCAGAGGTGGATTTGGTCAGTGACCCCAGCAAATTTAGTGGCAATGGCAGCAAATTGGATAGTATGAACTGAATGCTTTTTGATGATGAACCTTCTGGCTTTGGCCAATTCCTTCTCTTGCCCTCTTCTTCTCTTCTCTCTACAAGATTTCCCTATTTTGTTGTTTTTAAGGCACGTCAAACCCTGGAATAGCCCTCACAGGCATTAGTCACCAGTGATTAAAATAGCCACTAAGCAGGCAAGAGCTTGCAATGATTTGTGCTAAATTGGGTGTATCACTGTTTGTAGCAAGGGTTGCTGATTTGCAAACCTCTCTCTTGTTATTATCGTTGTTTTTATATAATAGCGCCAAGGGGCTCCAGCTGACATTAAAGTTCCATTTCATCCACTGCTGTACAAAAGCAGAGTAGAAGAGTTTGTCATCTAGACGGGCACTGTTAAAAGTATGAGAATTGAAGGACTATCTGGTCCATACAGCTGAAGCTCAGAGGTCCCATTGGAAGAGAGGGAGAGGGAAAAGACCGACCTGAGAAATGGGCTCAGGTGCCCCCAGCTCTGAGCAGGTTCTCAGAGGTTCAGCTGGGTGGCTGCTCATCAGCTCCCTGCTGGCAGCATGGATCTTGGTGGCCTGGTGGTGCAGACAGAGCTGCTGCCAAAATGGATGCTGTGCTGGAGGTAAAGGTGGTACTTTTGTAAAGTCACAGAGTATGCAAAGATGGAAAGAAATCGGAAACACCAAACAAAAAGGCCACTCTGTTGGGCATTTCTGACAACAAACTAATCTGAAAGGGTGAAAGTTTCACCTTGGTCCAGAGATGCATATCTGAAATTTTAATTGCAGATGTGAACCTGTCTTTCCCCACGTATAAAATGAAGGCAGTAGTGTGACCTCACAGGGACTGTGTGTGGTTTAAGGGCCCAGTTTTATTAATGCACATGATCTTGGACTATTCCTGGTGACCTGAGTGCCAAGTCCATTTGCTAATAAGGATAACCAATGTAATAAAATGACTGAATCTATTCATTAAATACATCAGGTTCCCCTCTAGTCAGAAGTATCACTAGTGGTTAAGGTTTTCATTTCTAGCACCTAGAGGAATCTGTAAGGATTTACCCCAGTTTTGAGCCCTTTAACTCCAACAGCAAAAAAACCCCAAACTCTGTGGTTTTTATTGCTCGAAGTCTTGAGTTCTGTCCTGCCAACGGGTCATGGATAATACATGTTTCTGATGCAGAACAGAAATTGGAAATCATGTAAGAACAACTTGGGTCAGGCTGTGAGCTGTGAATATATCAGAAGGGTTTTTCCCTCTGTGTATCTGTGTCCAGCTGAGAGGAAGTAGCAAAGGATGTTTAAAATCAATGGAATTAGTCGAAGTTCTTTGACGCATAGTAAAGATTTGTATTTTTGGAGATTTTAAGTGAGGTTTTGGCTATGATTTTGTTTTGTCTGCAATAGTCACATATCTCTAACTGTATAACAAACTACAAGATCTAAGTGGGATTGCTAGAGTTCTGTGTTGCTCTGCAGCGAGCAACACTCCAGCTGCCCACACTGACAGTAATAGTGGTGGTTTTATGGAGAGGGCACATTTTAAGTATTGGTTGTTAGTTTGTGTGTTAACGTGTGGTGAGTTGAGTTAAGTACACAAATCAACTTGCAGTAAGTTTTAATGCAGCAATACATAATTTGAGGCAGCTGTCACCAGATCAAAACTGTGAGCACTCTGCTCACAGTGAAGGGGATCCTGGGTTTGGGAAAGCTGCTAATGAAGCATTGAATGCTGGATGTGATTAGTCTCCTTGCCATTGACAAGGCTTGGGCATTGAACTTCAAGCAAAGTGTGTTTTCAGAGTGCAGGGAGAGTGTGTGGGAAATGTTGTACCAAGCCATGAGTGTGGAAAGTCAAGGAAGTTGAGTGATGAGGTTTAGGAAGGCTTCAAAGTGGCTGTGGATGGATGTGCAGCGGGAGGATGAAGTGAGGGTGAGCTGTGAAAATTAGTCTCAAATGTTTCTTCTCTTCAGCCAATTTATTTTGGTTTTCCTGTGAAAATGTCATGGGGATAGAGAAAGGACATTTGGCTGCTGGTTTCTCCAGCAAGGAGTGTGGAGGTTTGGATTTGATAACTCCATGGAGACAGAGGTGAAAGTGGAAGTGGTGGGGCTTGCTCCTCTCAGCAGCAGGATTTTAGAGGCTGTGCCTTCCAAGTCACTACCCTGATGTGCTGACACTCTTGCTCAGTTAGTCCTCTCGTGTCTTGGACTATCCCTTTGGGGTCTTATCTGCATGGTGGTTTTAGCCCTCACTTGATTACTGAGAGGAAAGGACACAAAGAATCTGTGAAGCAGCAAAACTACCTTTTTATTTTCAGTTCCAAAGAGATAACCTCAAAATATTCAAAGAATCTACCCCAGGGGAAGGAAATCTCCAAACATCCTATTAAGATACCGGCTACAGCACCTCATCTTAGCGAGCTGAGAGCTCTCATTAGATGCTTCCCAAGCCATATCTGAGCTACAGGCTCTCTTCCTTGAATACCCTAGATGGAGGGGAGGAGAAAAAAAAAGAAAGAGAAAGAAAAAACCCAGCCTAACCCACTTTCCAAATGCTATTCAGTCTGCACTGATTATATAGTGCAATTGATAAAGTTAAGGAGTCAGCTGAGGTCAGAGCCTTGGGATGCCAGCTCCCCATGCCATGAGGGAGCTTTTTTGTGTATATGCATGTGCATAGAGGACTAGCATAGTGTTTGTTTCTTGAAAAATCCTCAGACACTCTCCAAAGAATTCCAAATTTAAAGCAGTGTAAAATGCTCCATCAAACATGTTTTACAGTCCTGAGATTGCTGCCTGTGAAATCTACTCCAGTGACTGTTCATGAGACCTTTTGAATAATCTCTTGTTTGTGCTTTACTTGCTGTTGGGCAGAGCTGTCATGGAAGACAGGGCAATTGTTTTATAGTCCTGTCTGGATGGGGAAACCTTGGAGAAAGGCTGCTTTACCCAAGGTCACTCAAAACATGTAAAAGATATTCTGCCCCCCAAAATAAACAAGATATGTACATATGGCTAGGACAGGGGATGAAACAGGAGTCAGTGAGGCAAGGACTTGCTTTCAAATTGAACAGAAATTGCAGTGTAGTAGTCACATGGAGGTGTTTTCCTGAACCTTTTCTTGTTTCTCCATAGTGCCCAGGAGTGGAAACAGTTATGATGGACAGAAACCAAAAGAGAGATTTCTGTAGGAGATCAGATGGCAAATCATTTTCTCTGCTGGATGCCCCAGAATTGGTGAGTTCCTAGAGTCATAACTATGCTGTTACCTTACACAGAGGTACTGCGTCCTGGTCCCTTGCCAATGGTCTGCTGTTCATGTAGTAAAGTGACTCTCTGGTGGTCTATTTAGGGCAGCTCCATTGTATTTCAGTGAATTTTTTCACCTACAGTGGATCTGATATGAAATACCAAAACTAGGACTTTGAAATCTGCCCAAAAGACTGGGCAACTGGACTGCTACTGACAGATTGGGTCTAGGTGTGGTACTGGTGAAGTGAATTTAAAATGGACTGTGATAGGACATGATCTCATCACACTATGCCCCAACAGGAAAATAAACATCTCAGCTCTGTCTGACTATTTGTTCCAGTAATATCTTGGTTCTGGCTTAGCCTTTATGTAACAGCACAAAACCATTTTTCTGTGGCATTTCTTCCTTTCTACAAATAAACAGAATGGAGGGAAGAGGAAGTATGGCCAAGTGTTCTAATGTCAGGAGAAATAAGACAAAATTAGACATGGCAAAATTGCAGTTCAGTCTAAAGGAAGAAGAGCTGTGATGCGTAACACTTCACCCATGGCTAGGACTTGACTGTGCTGGGGCTGTGCTCAGAGACAGACAGTTCCTGCCTTGAATCATTGACAGTCCAGAGAGATGACAAGTGAGATATGACAAGCAATCCTTTCTTTTCAGTGGGACAACTTGGGTACACAGGGTTAATATTTTTCCTTTGTAAGTTAGCAGGATCTTTGCTGCAGCCAGGAGTAGAGTTTCACTGTAAGTCATTCAGCCGAAGGGTGTGTGACAGGTTTGTCTCAGTGCCTTACTCATCCTTCTGCACACCTCTAAAATATGATGGATCATTGCAAAGTAAAAATATCTCTAAAATGACGTATCCCAGGCTTGTGCATGAGTGTTGTGCCTGATCTTATGCATTTGTATGTTTTCTGTTATCCCTCTGTGTGTTAAAGCATAGTCATACACATGCCACTGCAGGCCAAAATCCATGGATGTGCTCTAGCTGTCTGGAGATTGTTGCTCCAGGGTGGAGACTCCCCAGGCCACTCTCAGCTCTGAGGAGCAGGACATGCTCTGGAAATAAATGCCTGTGAAATGGGGCTGTAAAAGCGTTCAGGGCCTATGTGGTGTGAATGCAGTTAAGTCCTTATGCCAGGGAGCAAGCTCTGAGCAGTGCAGCTGTTATCCAAATAGTTTGGGACACTTCTGTAGAGATGTGTCTGGTTGGGAATGGGGAAACTTCGATCTTGTCTTTCAGCACTAGTACTCACTCCCGGGTTAGCTGGCTTGAGGCTGGAGCCAGATTGCAATCTCCCAAGTTATTTCTGCAATGAGGAATATATGCAGAGTCAAGCAAAAAGCATCTCGGAAGAAACGAATTAGCAGCCAAATATAGATTATTTCATTTTGAGGGACATCATCCAATCCACTCAACTTCTCAGTCGTTCAGCAACTTTTAATGTCTATTAATACCTATATTTATTGTAACCATGCACACTGAAAGTCCAATCTGTGTTACATCTTTCTTGTTTGTTCCTGGCATATAATGTTAGACATAGTCACCCCACAGACGAAGCCTTCTGTATTTTTTCTGAGGCACAGTGCACAAACTTCTCATGTGTAAGTATTTCCCAATGGATTTTATCTCCTTTTTGTATAGCAATAGCCAGGGGAGGGTAGGGACAGAGTGGGGTAATTTTCAAAGTCAGTTAGTTTCTTTTAAATGCATCTTCTGGCACTGATTCAGCAAACTGTACACGTGTTTATTTGTGATAGTTTTGATGTGATTTAAGGATGTGCTTGAACTTAAAGGTAAGCTTTGTATTTTGCAGAATAATTGTCCTAATGCCTTATTTGAGGGTGCAACCATCAAATGGCACAGTTGTGCGTTCTGTTTGGGCCAAAGTAGTATGGAAGAAAAAGGCAGTTAAACTCAACTAGTTACAACCCTGCATAGGTACATGAGCAAAACTCGGAGGCTCAATCATCAGCTTCTTAGAAACCTCATTGAAAATTGGTAGTCACCAAATGATAAAATACAGAAAATTTTTCTCTGATAAAGCTAAAAAGTGGTGATTTTTCCTCTGAAATACTGTTGCAGAAGCACTAATGAGATAAATGTATTTATGTCGTGAATAAAACGCCTGATGAAAACTAATCCGAGAGATGGAGTAAGTGATTGAAGAGGGCCAGGATCGTCAGTGCTCTCCATCTGCTTTGCATCATTGAGCTGGGCAAAACATCAGAGCATATTGGTGAATCTGGCAGATGTCATGTTATTTTTATGTCATCCTTATTCTTCCAGGGCCTGATCCAAGCCCCACTGAAATCCATAGAAATGAGTGGACTTTCCTTTACATCAGCGAGCTTTGGATTGGTTCCTTCCTCGCTCACTGGTAACGTCAGGAGTCTGCGATGGGTCTTGGAGACATTTTGACAGAGCAGTCAGGCACAACTGTGCTTTCCTTTTTAATCCTGCCTTTTGATGATCTTGTTATTGATGTATGGTGTTGGCTGGAGCCCAGAGATAAAATGAAATGGGAAGCATAACAAACTGGAAAATGCATACTGATTTAGAAAATAATGAGATTATTCCCAGAAGTGCTGAAATTCAATGGGATTTAGAATCCCAAGGACCCTATTATTTTGGAAAATGGACCACATGCTTTCAAGACATTTGAGCAGCTCTGAAAACTTCATCCATCACTTCTATGAAGAGCAGTATAGATCTTATGTAATATCACAGGCAACAGCCAGAACTGCTGAGAGTCTAACCCGCAAAATGGCCTGATATTCTATTGTTTCTGAAGGTGCGAATTCCTCTTTTCCTGATATTAAGTAACTTTTGGGTGTTGTTCTCTTCTGTTAAAAGAGGAATCTGCTGTATGTTGCAAAAAGATGTTTATAAATTCCTTCACATGTCAATCCAGACATCCTCCTTATTCCCGTTATGTTTATTTATATAGACACACATAAGACTAACAATCTTACACTTATTAATCAAGGTGATTCAGCCCATACCTCCCACTGTCTTTCTCTGATTCCAATCTTATTCCAAAATATAGCCCTAAATATCACTGGGGTTACTCATAAAACATGGTGATGCTCTGCATGAGTAAGACTATTTGAATCTGGCCTGGAGTAAAGTTACTAATTCTCAGTGAGAAGCAGAGCTAAACAAAGATTGCAAAATATTGTCCACTAATCTGCTCTTGAATTTTTAAACATATTTTTTTGGTCTCTGTTCACTCGTGGATCTCTGAGCTAATGAACTTGCTGACAGGAATGTTCACCATAACAACCCATTTACAGCAAATATTGCAAGATCTTTGCACTCTTCCCTTCATTCAAAATAATACCAGTCTCCTTCCCCAAGAAACAACCTTCCTGTTTTAGAGTTTTGTCATTAATTGTGAGTATTCACATTGGTAAGATGTTTTGTTTGTTTTACTAAACCCTCTTCCAGGGAGAGAACAGAATTAAACCAATTGAAGTAGAATTTAACAAAGAAAGACCTTTGAGCTCCAATGCCAAGAGAAAGGATGGTCCAGAAGTTTGAGCAGCAGGGAGATGTGCAAGTCAGCCCTTGGTCCACAAGGACTTTGCTGGAGGGGAAGTCAGCAGCGCTACCCTTCAGCTCCCCATGTCGGAGCTCTCTACCTGGCAGCACAGTGAAATGCTAACAGCTTTCAGGACCTCAGATACACTGGGGTATGTACAAAAGATGCATAATACTGACAAATCATCTGCTTGTGACCCAGCTATAAAAAAAAAGGTGTAGAAATGATTTAGTTACAAATTCTTTACCTAAAGATGTCCTTTCATCTGCTGGTGGATGTTTTCTTCTAGGAGATTATTCATGGAGCAAGGTTCTAAAATAAAAATTGAGGAGGATGGAGCAAAGCTGGGCTTTGGTGAATACATATAAACCCTAGACACATTGCAAACAAACTGATCTTGTTCCCAGGCAACTCCCAAGTAGAAAATAGGCACAACTGTTCCAAATGATTTTCTCTATGATTTGTTTACCTAGCTGTAGGGTCTTCTTCAGAGTCAGGCAAAATCAAAGGAGGCACAGTTATTGACCTCAGCTTGCTTTGAATCTGGCCTGTAATGAGAGCTATACCCACACCAAGTTTCAAATTCCAAGCAGTTTGATGTGGCCTTTTACAGAGAAAAAAATGGTTAGAATTTTTATTACAATAAGAAAATGCAATTTTTCATTCTCTCCTCATTTCAGAAGGTCTGAAGGGATTTTACTGAACTTCCTCTTCTACCTTCAGGCAGAGACAAAATCTGAGAAATTGCAGCCCAGTTTTGGAAAGTTCTCAGGATGTGAAAATTAGGGTCTCGTGGTGGGAAGCTGCTATTCAACACACTTTGTTGTCATACGGGCTTCTGGGAATCCACTGCAGACCAGGTGCCCCTTCAGCCTCACTTTGTTTTGTTTTTTAGCCTTCCATTGTCTGATCAGAATGATTAAAAAAAAAAAAAAAAAAAGGTGTCTGATCAGAACGATAAGAGGTTTTACCCTGTTGGGACCAAGCTGGCTAGAAGGTAGTCAGGAGCTGGCCTTGCATAGCTGGGCATTATCTAGCAGCTTCTAGAGTGTGACATACAGTAGGGAAATGTAAAGCTTTAAGTACTCTGCCAAAACCTGGCAAGGTCAAATGCAGTCTTGCTGTTTACTCTACCACCAAATCTAGCAGCCCCAGACAAAAACTGCATGGGCAGCTCAGGGAGGAGGAGAGGAATGACAACTATATTCAGGGGTTCTCTCTTTAGGCAAAGTCCTGAAACCTAGGACGAACTATTGCCCAGACATTTGATGATGCAAAGTGTAATAGAGCAAGTATTGAGCTGCTTTTCCAATGTTCCGTGTTTAGAAGAGTGTGGTGTGCCCTTATCAAGAGCAAATGTGAGCCTTATAAATATCTGAATGCAGCTGGTATTATTTTCAAGCCCAATTTAGGCACCCTTGTTAGACTTTTTGGCA